GTGATATTCCCCCCAGTGATTTGCAGGCTCAATACAACACACCTCGTCAAAGTTGATCTTATTTCTCAAAGAGAAGCGGACCTTGCATTGCTCTGAGCTTGTTTCCCGCTATGTTTCCCGCTAGTATTTTAACGTATTCTTACAAGCATTATTTATAGCAGAGCCGTTTCTTATGAACAAGATCAGAAGTACGAAGTCTGTTGGCTCGCTTCTACTCCCTGTCTGTCCTAGAGCCACACAGCCTTCAACTCTTTCCCTTGTCACGGGCGAAAGCTCTCCTCTTTGTCTTCAATTTGCTAGCTCATCTGCGATTGATCTGTCATTGCTTACTATAATTCTGCATTGCATTATACCCTTACTCGTGCCACCGAAGGGAAAGGCTGTATGAGAAATGATCTGTTTCCCCTCTTCTGAAGCATTTTTATGTCATTCTACCCCCTCCGATATCCATATCTACTAGCGATCCTTCATAGACTGCGCATCAATCAAGCGGTGTATGTTCGCTGTGCAGCCGATGGCTGAAGCAATATTGCGCCATCGTGGGAAAGGTGTGGGTGCCATTGAGGCTCTGCTTCTGCATTAGGGTGCCTGTGGCTAAGGACTGGGAACAATTCATGTTGGAGCTGAGAGGCTGTAGCTATTCATTGGTGGGACTGCGCAATGTGTTTTCTTTTCCCGGGGCGCCTCTTCGCGAGCGTAGGAGAGCGTTGCTGAAAAGGGCAATTTATGAGTATCGATCGTCAGTGGCTGATGCAGCAATAAGGCTCGCGGTAAAGCAAGGCTGCTCAGTGGACCACTTCTGTATCTGCACTTTTCACCAGTTGACATCCCAAGACAGTGCCTAGCTCTTTTAAAGTGGCTGCATTGCCTGGGCACTTACATTTCAGACACATCGTTCAGAATCAATAACTTTCTCCCTGCGTCCATTTGTGAAGCGACACTATGAAACGCTCTCACGAAGATGATGATGATGTGCCGGACAAGCGTGCAGAACATGTTCTGCCAGTCAAGAAGAAGCGCAAGTTTCAAGATGGGACTCCAGTATCGAATCCGAGGGAGGCTCTTCAAAGGGTGATAAAGAAAGTAGCCGGGCGATACCAGTTTCAGTCTCTCGGGCCAGACGAGGATATTCGCGTTTTGGTTCTCGAGCCCGGATTTCGTGCTGATGTTACCCAAGGAAGAGAGAAAGCCGATCCAGTAATATGCACCTTAATTCCAAGAGCCTTACCATCAACCCAAGCTGCGCCTAGCAAAAAGCCTCTCAGATACGAAGCGCTATCCTACTACTGGGGACAGGATGACGATGATGTCCCCATCACAATCATGGTTTATAAGCCCACCCGTGCTCGCCCTTCCATATTCGATATCACACAAAAAACGTTCTGGATCCGACCAAATCTACACGCAGCGCTCGTCGAATTGCGCTCTACGAAGAAACCGGTACATTTATGGGTCGATGCTCTGTGCATCAACCAGAAAGACGATGTGGAAAAAGCAGCCCAAGTCTCGAGGATGAACGAGATATACAGCGAAGCTTCCAATATTTGCATTTGGTTGGGCGTGGGCGAGATGGACCCGGAAACGAGCCAGGTGAACCCTGATGGTACAAAATCGACATTTGAATTCATTCGTGATATGTTGAGTCTGAAACGTCTCGACCGATTGATTACCGACCCAACATCCGCCGGGCGATGGCTTGCTTTCGTCGAGCTCATGAGGAATAGGTGGTTCTCTCGCCGTTGGGTAGTTCAGGAGCTCGCTCTTGCAAAACAAGCTACCGTCCACTATGGTCAGCAAGTCATGCAATGGTCAGATTTCGCAGACGCAGTGGCACTTTTCGTTACGAAGCACGACCAAATCAACAGACTCCTCAAAAACTACAATCCTACCGATCCGGACCCCATCGGCGATATGAGAGCTTTGGGCGCGAATACACTTGCTGAGGCGACAAGCAACCTTTTCCGGAAGTCAAAGGACGGTGCTATACAAGAAAGACTCTTAAGCTTAGAGACTCTTGTTTCAACACTTCTAGCATTCGAAGCAACCAATCCTCTGGATACTGTATATGCTGTGCTGTCAATCGCCAACGACACTCCTTATTCCAACGTCCAGACCGCTGCGGCCACAGTCACTTCCCCGACCTCTGGAAACGTCGCAGAGGCAGGAGATCCCCGTATCGTGCCCAATTATGACAAAAGTCTCGCAGAATTGTGTTCCGATTTCATCGACTACTGCGTCGAGAAGTCAGAATCCCTAGATATCATCTGTCGGCACTGGGCTCCAGTTCCCAAAGACCAAAAGCAGCCCTTGCTGACTCTTCACGCCGAACTGGTCATGCCGACCTGGGTTTCTTCGATTGCCGGGTCTGCTTTTGGAGCGCCGGAAGTGGCCCTTCAAGGAAGGTCAAACGGAGATAGTCTCGTCGGTGTACCCAGTCGACAGCATCGAAAGAATTACAACGCCTCTGGTAATCTGAAGCCCGCCTTCAAGATTGAGAGACAAGTCAAAGTCACGCCTGTGTTACCGGACATGGGCAAGGATGAAAAGGTTGAGTCTTTGAGCCACCCCACCAGAGACGCAGAGACCGACAGCCAGGGTTCAGCTGTGACGGAAGAGAGTAAAACTGACCACGACGCTGCTCTAGCAGAAAAGACGGACCAAAAGCCAAGCCCATTGGACTCTGCAAAATGCCCTACCGCTCTTCTCTTCGCAAGGGGTCTGCGTTTGGATACAATCGGGAAGCTATCTCCTCGGGCTGCACAAGGCATGATTCTACAAGAAGTTCTAGAAATGGGAGGTTTAAATGCCGACGACGATGACTTGAAGAAAGTTCCCGACTCACTGTGGCGAACGCTGGTTGCGGATAGAGGTCCCAACGACACAAACGCCCCCAGCTGGTATCACCGCGCATGTCTGGAGTGTTTGGCACAAGTCACTCAGAATGGCGACCTCAGCACTGGTGCTTTGATTGAGAATACCAGCACGGCATCAACTATGGTCACCTTCCTCAAACGTGTGCAACAAGTGGTTTGGAATCGGAAGTTCCTGCTTTCGAAAGGCCCCGAAGACGACGAGGAGGAGAAGCTATTTGGACTAGCGCCTACTCATGCCCAGGAGGGAGATCTGATATGCGTATTGTTTGGATGCAGTGTGCCAGTGATCCTCAGAGAGATGAGGTCGGAGGACGATTGCTATTACTATTTCATTGGGGAGTCGTACATACATGGGATGATGGACGGAGAGGCCCTGACGCTGGGAAAGAGCCCACCAGAATTTCCTTATCATGATTATCAAGAGTTTAAGATTCGGTGAGTAAGGACGAATGGGGAGCTGTTTCAGAAATGCGTCTTGATTTTTGTGTATCGCTGGCAGGTTGCAGTAATTGTTTTTGGTATATTGATAACTTTGGTTTTCCTCCATTCCCAACCCCCGATGTCACAACTCTTCAGGTATGCTTCCACCAAGTCATTAGCCATTTATGTTACATTTAAACTTCTTTCTGCTTCACTACGCAATCCTCCAAATACCCCTCGATCATGAATCCAGTCTTCTCTCCAACTCCTCAAAGATCCCTTCAACCTCTCGACACCGTTCATTCACCTCTTTCCAAGCCTGCTTTCCAGCAGATTCCTCACGCTGTATCGCATCTCTCGTTTTCTCTAAACTCTCTACATCAGCCAAGATGACCTGCAGCCGACTCTCAAACATTTCCGGCGTACATCCTCCCCCAAGAAACACGCTCAACTGAGCATTCAACTCGACCTGCCATCGCTCGATCAATGTCGGTGAAGTGAGGTAGGTTGATTTATCAGCCGGTATAGAGGTGCCGGTAATTGAGAAATCTAGTGCTTCGAGCGCGGCTAGTACATCACGCGTGGCTTCGGAAGTACTCTCATCTGCCATGCTCGAACTGGCAGGCTTTGACCGGGGTTTTGACTGGTTTGGACGATGCTGCGTGGATTTCGAGAGTTGGGTTTGTAGACCAGTGTTTACTCGATTGCTCTTTCGACGAGTTGTCTTTGAAGCAGCGGAGCTTGAAATGGAGGAAGTGACGACGGCCATGAGGTTTGATTTCGCTGGGAATAGATATGGAGGAATTAGGTAGGTTGTGATTAGGCGATTTCTGTATTGCAAACTGTTGATCGTGAATGTCCCAGAGTGGAAAGATACGAACAAAGAAACAGTACAGAACCCTTATTAAGTAGTCAATATTTCGTCGTCGTATCTTTACAGCCGCATGCTCGAAATGCCCTTCACCGAGAAGACATCATGTTGACCTGGCGGGGCAAGGTGTAGCTCCACATCGAATAAAGGACAACACATGACTGTGCGTTGAATGAGGTGGCCTCTTTAGGAAGCTCGGTCCTATACTACGTGGAATGCATAAAATATATTGGCTGTGGATAAACCACAGTTGCAACTGAGGGTGTGTTCACTTGGTGGTCTCAGCCTCTCGCTTGCTTCGGTGAAAGAGAGGGGTGGAGGGGTAGGCAAATCGCTAAGGCGGGGTTGTCATTCAGCCTTGGGTCTTTGAGGCTAACATTTTTTCTCTCTCTTATGGAGGGCGCAGATGGCTTGAGACTTAGGCTTCGGTGACTATATTGAATTGAGTTTACTGTGCCACTAAAGCAGTGTTTGTGTGAGGCTTCGACAGTGCGTCATGGAGTGGGGTGGATGGGTAGAATCCAATTTTGAGCTTCGCGTAAGTCCACAAGTTAGTAATTCTGACAGGTAATCACTATTCGGAAAGGAGCATGTCTTTCCTTAAAGTTCGAAAAGTGATATCTGATCTGAAAGGCAAGCAATGATTTCGCCGTGCTGTACTTTACTCATCTCTGTCGATTACTCTCGCTTCCCTGGCGGGCACAGACAGTATTCGCTTATTAGTATAATACAACGAGGACTTTGCGGCATTTGGGGGGAAGGTAAATTTTTGTATTGATGCTGATAAGATTCAGTTGCGCCGTCTACCTTTTTATAATACGTTGTTTCCTCAGTCTGGACCGCTGGCGTAACGGCAGCGCGTTTGAATCCAGATCGAAAGGCTATCTGTTCGAGTCAGGTGTAGTTCAATAAACTTTGCTGCGTCAAGTTTGATAAAGGAAATATGACCTTCTTATACTTGCCGTGTAGCTGCAGCGATCTCGGAGAATTTATCGAGAAACCTTAATTGCATTATCAGTCGGGTATTGTACTTTACACTATGTTTCTCCTTGTACTTCAGTCCAAAGTTCCCGATTCATTTTTTGGCATTAAGACAATTTCTCAACAATTTATTCTCAAAAGACCCATGACTCGATGGAAAGATGACGCAGCGAGTGTGAAGTACGCTGGATTGAACTGACGCTGTGACGCAAGAACGCCGATATTGCGCCAGCTATCTCTCGACATTCATTTGCACCTAAATTGCTAGCATCTCATGACTTCCCAAACCCTTTCTCCACCTCTGCCGCAAACTCTCCCAATGTAGTAAACACCGCCGCGAGTTGCACTTGATCCTCAAAATCTTTCAGTTTTCCACCCATCGCAGCATCATCTCCACCCCTTTTAATCCACACACTCGGCCTCAAACCAAATTTCTTTGCTGGGATATGGTCATGATACAAACTCTGCGCAACCTTAAGTACCTCCTCCTTCTTAGCCCCAAAGCTCTTCCCAGCATTCTCAACCATGTACTGAAAGTTCTTCAGATCAGGTTTGTAAGACCCGATATCCTCAGCTGTGTAAATAGCATCGAATTTCACACCAGAAAGTGGTCCAGAAAGCGTTCTTGAGAAGGACTCTTTATCGACGTTGGACAGGACAACGAGCTTATAATGCTTGCCCAAGACTTGCATCGCTGTAACAGTGTCGGGAAAAGCAGGCCATCTCCCAATCGAAGAACCAAACTCCTTGATCTCTACCTCAGATGCTGGGAGAGAAAGTTGTGCGGCGAGACGCTTGTAAATAGCTTCCAAGACTTTCGGATATGGAAGAGTGGGATGCTCGATTTGGATTTGTGCTTCGAGTTTGGTATATGAAGTCAGAACGTCGAGAACGACGGTCTTGTCTGGTACTGGTGAATTCTTGGAGGGGTGACGGGCATCTGATTCTGGGAGCTTGGAGAGGAGAGGAATGAGACCTTCGTAGATGCCTCTTTCCCAGTCGATTAGAGTTCCGTAGATGTCGAAACTGAGGACTTTGTACTCCGTAGGGGTGAAGGCCATTTTGAAGATATGTGTGAACGATGTAAGTCGTTTTATTTTGAGATGTCTTGTGAGTATTCGGTTGCAGGCTTGGAACTTTAAAGGGTCGGTGAGCTTTTGACATTCGAAAGGCGTGGAGTGGGAGGCCAATTACGTGGCATTCTGGCGTTTAAGTAGCCACTATTCATGACGATGGCAGACTTGGCTTCCAGATTCGTCTCGCCGACACAACTCAAAGTCATGTTGATGGAAGAGCCATTCGGAATCTATTTCAGGTCGTGGCGCTGCCATCGTGAAGTAGACTTTCTCCCATCGAAAGCTACTGTAGCTAGTTCTTAACTCGAACCTTCCACGTAAATCCAGAGAATTGTATCGGAAAAATTGCAGAACGTATGTTAAGTGCGAGTTCAATCAGGGTGGGAATTAATTAAATTAAAGTAACCATAGTTATTTTAAATTAAGCTTAAGTAACTTAATCGTTAATCAAATTTTAATTTAATTTAATTAAAGTAACTTAATTATGACTTAAGTAAAGGTCACGTGATTAAGGAGGGGTGCCAAGGTAAGAAAGATAACCTTAAACTAGCGTACGCGATTATTAGCCAATAGATAAAGATTTAGCTTATCTTAGCTTTAAGAACTTTAGGACTTTTAAAAATTAAATTATAACTAATTAATTCTTTAATATTTGATTACTTATTAAAGATATATTAATAGTATAAATAAGCTTATAAATAATAAAGAATATTATATATTGAAATTTTAATAGAATAACTTAAATATAATTATAGTAAGAAATTAAGTAAAAAATTAAGTAATTAAGTAAAATTTAAGTTACTTTAATTTAATCAAGTCAAGTTTTTACTCAAAATTTAATTTAATTAAAGTAACTTAATTTTTTCTCCCCACCCTGAGTTCCATAGAGCTAGTTATTAGTGATTACCATTTGGAGGAAGGGAATAGAACGAGGAAGACACGGTAATGGAAATTTGTTGATATTGATGCGCTGATAGTTTTGATGCAAGTGCGGATCTCGGTCCATTTGAGTTTTATTAGAACCACAGAACTTGATTTGAAGAATTAGTCTGTTGATACCTTCATCAGCTCAAATTATTACGGTGCATTTATAGACCACCGTAACATTGGCTTCATGTACCAAGTGTGAGATGGGTTGGAATTTCGTTCACAGACTAATCAGCTAACTTTCACCCAAACAAAACTTGGGTTTTTAATTCAAAAATGAATTTACAGCCATGCCAATAACTAGCTTCAGCTTCACCACGCTAAGCAAAAGGCCCTCAACTTCTTTAAATCGTAATTCGCTAGAAACAGAATATACACTTTGCCCTTTCGTACAACCCTTTGATAGAATAAAAAGCTAATTTAATTACAAAATAATCATTAAATTAATATTTGCATTTACTTTTTATTTAATTGAAAAGCAATTTAAAGTTAATATTTACTTTTAAGGCAAAACTCGTTAATTTTAAGTCACAAGCTTAACAGGGAAAGCTAAAGTCTCAACAAGCTCATAATCGCATATCCTATATCTAAGTACCTACTTTTACACTTTCAAACTCAATTTATACACAAAATCAATCAGGTTATACACATTTAAATATGTTTTGATTAATTGCAAGTTTTCCGGCTTTAGTTAAAGTAATATATTGAGAGTTATATTAGTTTCAATTACCATAGGCGCAAAAAATATGTTCTCTAGAAAATTCGCTTAGCGCGGTGAAGCTGAAGCTAGTTATTAGCATAGCTGTATTCTTTTAATTCCTTCCTGCTTGGAAATTAAGAAACGATGTGAGCACTCAGTTACAATGGTGATAAGTCAGGTCCACCAGCCTTCACCATCCTTCCAAATATTTCGTATCCAAAGGATATCATGCAAATGATGCAACTTCGAAAAATAATGAGATTCGAATAATAGTTGATTCAGCACAGGGACCCTCCCAATCATCCCAAAGATCATGATTGAACAGCAGCATGGCCGCATGCTTGGATCCCTCCGTCATGCCGTCAGTGAAATGGCCACCAACAATGGCAGCACGATCATTGGCGAATGCCAAAGGTTGTCGGACACTCTCAAGTTACTCCGGGGAAGTACGTGGACTTGAAATAGCTCGAGATCAATGGCCGATTTGCTACAATCCACAGAAGACTTCCAATCCGCTCGTCCTCAGCGAATGAGTTGCGCATGGTGGGTTTCTCTCGATCTGGAGAACGAATTCGTTCGCCTCGGTGCTGCCGAATTAGTAAACTATTTTATGAACTGTGTTGATCCTTTGGAAGCGGTGTTTCAGGCGCTGCGGTGCGGAGTAGTATTGGTGCTGTTGTTGAGGTTGATGTGCTTGTGTGATAAGGTATATGGGTGCTGCTGGTGAGTGGAAAATGCAGAGACTCGTCTCAATAAATGAAAGAAGAATATTGATTGCATCAACAGCCAGCCCTCTTGAACAATCCGTCCTATACAATAGAAAAGTAAGTACTTATCGGTCCATTGAGTCTATCTAATAAATAAATTACACGGAGATGGATGCTGAAAGTCGCTTTTGCACAGATTGTGGTACCGTCCTCGACAGATCAAGAGAGGAAACACTGAGTTGTGACTGTTGCGGAACAATGAACCAAAGTCTGTCAGAGCCCTCACTTAATCTCCTGCCCTTGCTGACCAGAGAGCAAATGCCTACACGTGACCGTGTGTGGAATGGTTCACTTCCTGCCAAAGCATTCCATCACATTACTAACTTAACCTATTGAAGCAACATAGAACAGCGACCGACGCGATTGTTTAGATTTCATGAGACTATGAAGCATCTAATATGTTAAGGAGCACCGATGTCAAGTTACCCCTTCCAAAGCCTGTCGATACTGTAGGTCGAACAGAACTTCAAATGCCACATAATTTGTTCAGCAAGCCGCTTGCGGCCGAGTATTCCATCCATGTGTATGCACGAACCTAGCCACCGAGTACATGACAAAGATTAGGCAGCCGCCAGAGTGTCACTCTATTTGATACATGAAACAGGAATTCTGCAGGCTCAGGACGACAGAGCCATCATGATAAGTGTGATGGTCACAGACCCATGCAGGCGAGAGCATGTTCACTGGTCCATAAACGCCCCCTTCTCCCGAACATGGCCTGGGGCTGTACAGATTGTCCACGTCTTTCTCTCATTAATCACAGCGCTTGCAGCCGCATAACATCTAACTGCACGTTCATTCCCCATTAGGCCATGGGCAATGATCCTTACGGCCAAAAATGTTACAATGTGCAGGCGTTTATCCCAGGCGCTTTTCCAACCAACCAAGTTTGCCGAGTGCGAGAGTTGGAGTGTCCGCGATCTTCACAAGAAAATATCTTCGATTCTTTGTTTCGAATCCCAACTTATTAAGAAAATCACTTTTATACATTGTTAAACTGTCATCCTTCCTGAAGTAAGTACATTCAGAATCTGCGATTTAGTTGAAACACTAACTAGTATACAGACTTCCCAGCACGGCGGCACGGCACAGAACAAAGAACTAAGCAGGTAAATACATCTCTACCGTAAAGCATCTTAGACCGCTATTCTCCGTTTTGATAGTAACTTACAAAAGCAAAATGTGTCACTGTACATTCATAAGATACAGCCAATGCTTGCATACAGTCTTTGCAGGGATGGCTGTGTGCGCGGCGCCAGGTAACGCGAAGGGGACCAATTGTCCTAATTATACCACGAGCACTTCCGACGTCGCCGGCGAATGTCCTGAGTGCGTCTATGGAACACCTTCTCTATCAGTTTAAGACTTGTTGTTGGCGGGGGGCAAAAGAGTAAAGCAAAGGAGTGGGGCGGAGAAAAGACTTGGCAACGCTAAGCAAGGGCCTAAATCAAAGGCTA